CTATCCAGATTCCATCTTTCCGATCCATCCGGTTTCATCTCTTCTAGATCCACTGCTATCCCTTTTCTCAAGCCGAACCTCTCGACTTCTTTGTTCATTCTTTCAGGTGAGAAGACCTCGACCACATCCATAGCCGCCAGATCTGCAATGCTCTTGGCCGCCTCGTAGCTCCCGATCAGCAATGTCATAGCCTGGATCGAAGCTGCCCTCACTGAGCTTGCACCGTCTGCATCGGCCTCTTGACAAAGGTCGTCCACATCCACAACGCCTTCTTCACCTCCTTTTCTCTTTGTGCCCCCTGACGCCTCTTGCGCGGCAACTCCAGCCTCTGGGTTCAGCTCTCCTCCAGCCGATCCCTGAGCAGGTTCTGCAGCCATCGGCACCACTCCTTGGGGATCCACTGCTTCTTCAAGAAGCCTATCCTCTTCTCTCAGCCTTTTCACTTCCACATCGTCAGATGCTGCTGCCTCATCTAGGCATCTTTTGATCCTCTGTTGGCACTCTGAGCTATGCGCCACTTGCTGAAATCCAGCACCCTTCATCAGCGACAAGCATCCTGGGCATTCGTCTGTGCGCCCAAATCTTGTCACATACTCTCTCCTCACCGGCCAGGCTTTCACACCTTGCCTGCTCTGCTGACTGCTTGCACTGGGCCCACCAACCATTGGCCCGCTGTCCTCCCCAGCTGCACCTTCACCTCCACCTTGTGGTCCTCCATCTTGTCCAGGAACTCCTTGTTGAAGAGCTGGTCCAAGTGCAGGTTGAACGACGATCACTTGGGGTTGAGGTTCTGCTGGTTGAGCTTGTTCAGGAAGTTGCCTCCTCACGTAGGCACGAACATCCCATGGGCTGCCCTTCAAGTTCTCCTCCAAAGCAGTCCATTTCTCATCCTCCGGCAGTGAGTGGTATGAAGTTCCCACCACCACGCCTTCTGTTGTCATGCCCAGCACGCTCCCAAATCTGTTGTGACATCCAAGAAACCGTGCTGGCTTCATTCTCGCTTGATCACCTCTCTTCCCTTTTCCTGCCGGCTTGATCATGATTCTTTCTCCAAAGACCGGCATGGGTTTGATCCATTTCTTGCCTGTCCTCCTCTCCTCGGCTGTTCTGCCATCTGCACCGACCCTGTAACGGTTCGACTGCTCGGCGGCATACCGAGGAACCCAAAGAAGTAGTGGATGATCTTCAGGAATGTCCTCGTACTTCTTCTTCAGAGACATAGTGATTGCACGTACTCTCCATTTCACCTCTCTGACTGCTGCTTCAGCTTCTCCATTTGCACGTGCATCACCAACTGGACTTTCCTCGCATACCACCTTAGTCAGGCATTTGGCTTTTTTCCCTGCAGCCTTTTTCATCTTCACCAAAGCATGCTCACCGTCGGACTTGAGGACGACTTCCTTGTATCCCAAAAGTTCCAAGAATCTCGCCAAAAGTTTCCGACCAGTAGTTTCGCCATCTCCTTTCTCCCTCAGCGAAGTTGCCATCTGCATGCCCGTCTTGCGGTCTTGCGCCACCAAATGCGGCCTGGCACCCTCAGCATCCGTCAGGTACCAATAGTCCATGACCACTGTGTTGAGCAACTCCCCCTGATGAGGTACTCGACGATGTTGTTGCCCATAGCCCGTTGCCGCCACGCATTCTGTGCACCAGCTTCGGTACACTGCATGGCCAGAAGCTTCATGCTCCCTTTTCTCCTCTGGTGTTGGTGTCGGTGGACTCCACCCCGGGTTGGCTGGTCTTGCCTCAACTCCTTCAGAGACGACAAGCTCCTCTCCACCCCCAGGCACATCCACCTCTTCCTCCAGGGCACACGCAAACCGTGGTGACCTGGTTCTCTCCCTTCTCGGCACTCCTGCTGGTTCTGGAGGTGCTTCACTCCTCCTTGGGATCGCTCTCACTTCTGCAGTTGTTCTCGTCAAAGGCGGTGTTGTTGTCATAGTCCCGGAAGAAGACGACGGTCTCGACATAGATGGTGGTGGTCCTTCAGGTGAATGTGGAGAAACTGCATCTTGATCGGGGATTTTCTCCTTGACATCTTCTTCAGCCACTGGAATGATCCCCTCTTTTCCAAATCTCCACACTGCTTTCTGGTAGGCCTCATTCATAGCCTTGTTGACCGGATGTGAACAGGGAATAATTTCCCCACCACCAGCTCCCAACCATGTCACATAGCCCTTGTCGTGCATTTTGGCTGCACTGACTAACACCTTGTGCACGTCGGCCACCTGACCATTCAACTTCCGCATGACTCCCTTGGTGTCTTCTCCACGTAGTACAGCATTGCCATAGGCGTTGATCACCTCGCCACTCGCAGTCTTGAGCTTCATGGTCTCCTCCTCCCCAACGTTGAACATCTTCTTGGGAAACACCGTCAACGAAGCTCCTGTGTCCAAGTTGCACCGGACCCATTCTGGATCCACTGAAGTTGTAGATGCAATGGAAGGCAAAGAATCTGGGCTCCACTCCTCCTCAGTCTGATCCACTGCCACCATGATCGTCTCCTCGTTCTCGTCAGCCACCACTGTTCTTGCCCTTGAAGAATCCCTTGACCGACTTGCATTCTCATTGAACGGCCTCTCAACCACTTCCGGCGTACTTGAAGGCGATCTTCTTCTCCTCCTCAAAGGTCTCAACTTTACCACTGTCAGCGTATTGAGCTCCACCAAACTGCATAGTTCCAAGCCGTTCGCAGAAGCTTGAGGTTCTGGTTCAGGTAGATCTTGAACTGAAGCTGCATTGTGGCCCTTCTTGTTGCTGTTGTCGCTCTTCCCATTGCCTTTGCCCTTTCCAGGAGTAGCCCAACAGTCGGCTTTCTTATGACCAACCTTTCCACAGTTGTTGCATTTGCCGTTGAACTTCTCCCCCTTCTTCGGTGAACTGCTTGCCGACCTTGAAGTTGAAGAAGCAGGTTGTCCTTTTCCTCCTTTGGGTTTACTCCAACAGTCCCGACTGCGGTGTCCATGCTTCCCGCAATTGTTGCAGGTGCCGTCGAATTTCACGGTCATCTTGTTGTGGCTGTCACTCTTCCCATGACCCTTGCCCTTTGCGAGCGATGCCAAAGTTCCGGAAACTGCTTTTGCCAAAGAGTCCACGTCCATAGGAATTGTTTCACCTGAGCCCCCTGACGATTTGGCGAAGTTTGCACTCAACGTCATCCGGCTCCCTGTCTTCACTTCCATAAAATTGACGACCTCACGTTCCATGTCGTCAAAGCTGCGAAGCCGTGTGTGGTTCAGCAACAGGTGGGTCTCCAACTCCTTCGGGACCAGCTTCTCCAAAGCGTTCATCGCCAGGCTATCTGGTAGGGCTTCTCTTTGACCAAATTGATCCCTTTTCTTGTCATACCTGCTCTTCAAGGCTTTCCATCGCTCCAAAGCGCTCTGCAAAGAGTCATAGGATGCCCTCTCTGGATTGGTCAATGCCTGGAGCATTATGCGTTTTCTCGACCCAGTTGCAGGATCAAATCGGCGATGAAGTGCTCGCCATGCTTCTAGTCCTTGGCCCGTGGTGACATTCTCCACAACGTCGAAAGCCACCGACTCCGTTGTCGCCCTCAGCACACTGTAGAGCTGAGAGTTGAAGTCGTCAATGTCCTCCCAGGGCGGTCCAAGTCATCTGCATTGATGCCGAAGGTGTCCATGATGTCATTCTCCGTGATCTCAGCGTCCATGGCCGATGCCCACTCCATCACCTCTCGTGATTTGCTTCCAAATACTCCATGAGCATAGTCCTCCAGTTTCACACTCCACAACCTGAATTTGCTTTCTGCGTCTTCACCTAGGATCTGTGGTTTTCCCAGGCCTCGATGGTCAATCAGACCTTTCGGCTTCCCCAGCTTTGTCAAAGCCGTGGGTAGTTCACGTAGTGCTTGTAGAACTTCTGCCATGCCAGCTTGTACTCCTCCATGTTGAGGCGACTGACCTTGGGATGCCTCAAAGGTCGCCAGTCTTTCCCTCAGCACTGTGTTCTCTGCCTGGGCCTGCGCCATCTGAGCTTGCAATTGCTGGATGGCTGTGGCAACCTCCTCCATGCTCGCCATCCCCACAAAGTGCTCCTAGTAGCACCAGCCCCACCGAGGATCTCCACAGTGCCACCAGGAGGATCGCCAGCACGGCCACCTTGATGTAGTGGGACCACACTGATGCTGAAGGTCTCGTCCCCAGCACCAGTTGCCCACGAAGTGCCTCGCGGCCTCGAGCCGCAGCACCACCAGGGGTCGCTACCATGCGAAACCTGCCTATGTCAGGCACACCCTTTTGGCCCCAGATGGCTCACAAGTATTGATGTGAAACCACCTTACATGAGATGCAACATGTTTGCACCGGAGGCATTCTATGTGTGGCACTCAATCTCATATTACGCTGTAAATTCTCACAAAATTTACCTACGAACGACTCATTAAAAAAAGACCCGGTCAAATTACAGGTACCCGAAAATTGCATTTTACCAGGGTTTTTTAAGATTTTGCCCCCGCGGCGGCATTCTTTAGGACAGCGCGACCGGAAGGGGTGCGGCATTCTAAGTTTCAGTCCGTCGCTATATATACAGACATACATACATACACATATACATATACATATACATATACATGTTCATATACATATACATACACATACACATACACATATACGCATACACATACACATACACATACATATACATATACGGATTTCCGCGTCACAGACGAGGGGCTTTCCTACATATACCATCATATATTGTACATGTATACATATATATATATATGTATAAACATAGTCATAGATACACACATACTTGTATAATATTGAATAATATATCCACATACATAGAGGGACCATCACCATCTCGGGGGGAGGAGGGGGTGACCACCAGACACAGGGCCATATATAAATACATATTCATATACATATATGTGCATATTTTTTAAGTGTCTATACTGTTTATTGTTCATTATATTTTATAATTACATGTGCTGCAAGTGCTTGCATGTTTGACGACTGGAGGACTGAGCTCCCAACAGTCCTCGCTCGAGCGCTCTGAACGAATCGGCCACATTGCCCGTTAAAATCAGAACGTCATCCAAGAATTTTGTCGCATGTATGCCATGCACCCACGCTTCATTGGAGGCGTGCCCAAATCGAAGTTCTGAAAGGAGGAAGATTCGGCTTGTTCTGGCCGGTCTGCACGCATCACGAAGAAATCTACTGCGGCGCAAAGCTGCGGCAGAAGAACGCCATTGGGGTACAAGCTGCAGGCATGCTTGTCTTCCTTTGCTCGCTGCCTGATTTCTCTCTTCTGCCTTCAAAGCTGTTGCGAATGCTACGTAGGCTTTTTCGTTCTCTCGACATCCTAGCAATGCAACTCCCAGCCTGGTGTATGCCTTTGGATATGTTTGTTCTTCTGCCAAAGCCCGCTCTGCATCGAGAACCGCTGCGTTCCAGCGACCAGCCCGTGCAAATGCACCAGATCCTCAGAAGCAACTTCTGCAACCCAGCTGACAGAGCACTTCAAATAATTTCGTTTGTTCATTGATTTTCATGTTAAGCTACCCGGTGACTGGAGTCCTTTTTTATGGTCCCAGTGGGAGCCGCTCGCTCGAGGCAAAAATAAATTGCGAAAGTGTAAAAAAGTTTTAAAAAATACAGTTGTCCTATGTATCTGAGTGGTCAGAGTCTTTAAACAAATGCATGCTTTGACAAGCTATTTCCATCGAGGATCTGTTGGAGAAAAGGATGCAGCGAAGTAAACTGTATCCATCTTGCGTGGACTGTGATCGGGCAGGAATCACTGCCAAAGCCTCAGTGAAGCAGGCTATAGCTCCATGCCAGTCCCGTGCTCGCAAAGCCTCATTGCCCTGTTCCTTGCCAGCACCTTTCTGTGCCCGTCGACAGGCTTCTTCCAGGCCCTCCAAGTGATTGCTGCAAGGATCGATTTGCACAGCCCGGCGCCATGCGTCACAAGCCTCCGCAGAACCAGCTGCTGCCGCTGCTCCCACACGGCTCCAAGCTCTTGCCCAGTCTGGACGAATCTCTGCAGCTCTCCGAGCATCTGCCAAAGATGCTTCAAAGTGACCCAAACGAGCAAAGCAATGGGACCTATTTGATAGAGCTGTAGCCAGCTGACTCGGCTGACTCTCGATATTCTGGCCATTGCAATCGGAGATCTCTTGTTTACCATTGACCTTATCGTGGATGATGGAAGCTGTAAAAGGCTCCAAGCCATAGGATTCAGCTTCCCGTGTATAGTAGAACTGAGCCTGATAGTAGTTGCCAGACTTGAAGGCATCTGTTGCAAGCTGTTTCCAAAGCCAAGGAGGTCGCTCATGAATACTGGCAGCAGGCTTCACACTAGCTGCACCAGAAACTTCAAGCGCCTCCTTTCTTTTCGCCTCAATCTTTGCTTCCCTTATCCAGGCCTCCCGTGCAGCTCGACGACGGCGGCGCTGTTCTCGACGCTCCTTTCGAATGGCAGCAGCAGCTTCTTCGAGTTCATCTAGGATATCCAAATCGTCAAAATCCACTTCTTCTCCATCGGCTTCTCGAGTTTCCTTCACCTTTTCCTTGGCCAACTGAATCACTTCTGCACTGTTCTCCTCACCGCTATCACTGGCAGCATCCACAGCATCATCTGCAGCTTCTGGGCCTCGCCCCACGCAAACAGAAACGTTTTCTGTTGCTTGATATTCTGTGGCAGCTGGTTGGGACAACAACTGGCGCGGTAGCAGCTGTCTGGCTTGCGCGAGGAAAATGATGGGTCCTTGCTTCAAGAGGGGCATTAGCTCATGTCGGAGCCGCATCCACTCCTCTCTGCCAGCCTGCACACATGAGAACACTGCAATACTGCTCGATACACTGGTATTGCTATAGACTCTATAGACTCTATAGACTATCATACTGCTAAACAAGCTCTTGCTCAAACTTGCCGCAGTCACCCGTTTGGCACCATTCGGGCAGCTGACCGCCACCTCAGGTTTCCAAAGGATTTTGGCCTTTGGTCTTCACAAACTGAATCTAGGGAGGCCAAGAAATCAGAAGGACTGCATGAAGTGCATGGCCAGCTCTGCATCATCTGTTGGTAATGCATGCCGAGATATGCCGAGCTTGGTTCCTTGAGAGAGATGGTCACAGACATCAGCCAACGACCAGGGCTCCAAACAGCAAACACCGGAGTTGGCTGCAAGTGACCAGGACTGCCTGCAACAGGTTTCCCAGCAATTAAAAACAATTATATAAAACAACTCCAACCAGAAACCCTCAGTCCATCTCTGTCCTATTTATCCAGGCGGCCTGCATGAACCTTCTGGAGCTGGTTGATGTTGGAATAAAATCGCCTCAGTAAACAAACTGATGAGGCGCCACTCCTTGAATTATCTCACTTTCCCACCCCGTTCCTGTCTTCACTAGAATTCACTGAGATTTGCAAAATTCGGCAGTGGACTAGACTCAACTCGCCCATTCCGCAGAAGATCGCAGTATACCAAAAAATTGAAACTTTTGAGCTCAAAAGCTAGCATCCCCCGGGCACAAAGGCCAATCCCAAGTTGATTCCAAGCAGCAGGAAACAAGTCGGCTTGGTAAAAAGCTGCATGGACCTCATAGATTTCAAGACTGAAAACCTTGAAATTGGATGAAATTGGAATGAATCACACTATATAATGCAAAATAGGCAAAATCCGGCTATGTCTGTATGCCCTCAAGAATCTCTCCAGACTAAGCCGACTAAGCCGACTAAGCCGACTAAGCTACGAACTCGTGACCTGGAAAAAGCGGTTCCAGCTCAAGAGTGCAGTCCACTGGTAGCTGTGCACGTTGTTCCTCCCTGCGTAGCCTGGGGCAAACCCTGAGATCATGAGAAAAGAAAGTGCTTCACAAACATTTGGCACGTGGCCTTTCCCTACTTGCAGCTTTGTTCGTGAGGTCAATTTGATAAGAAATGCTTCTGAGACTACTTCCAAACAGCACTCCCAAATCAATCAATCTCAGCATCTCCAACAAACCTCAGCCCCTGGCATCAGAGGATGTGCTGCTGCGCCAAATGCTGCTGATCTCTTGACGCGACGCTCTGAGGTGGTCTGTGATGCCCCATGAAGCAGAAAACTCTGCAATTCCTTGTCCTGCTCTTCTTCCTCCCGCAACTTTTGCACTCTGAAGCTCTCAAAGTCTGGTGATTCATGCTCTGGTTCTGTCTCCGATCCAGGGTCTGGCAGGTTCTCCTGCCACTTGGCAGGGCCCAACTGATTTCGGATCAGGAACTCTTCCACCTCTTCACGAGCAAGTTTGCGACGTCGAGGTATCCAGAGGGGAATCGGCTTCCGGGGCCTAAAGCCGAACTGCGCAAAGCGATGCTGGAGAGTCTCCGCATCCGGCTCCTCGCGCAACACCCACAGGGCCCGCTGTGTAGCTGCCCACAGACCTTCCAATGAAGCTGCATAGCCACACAGCAATGCGCTGTGGCCTCATGTCTTGAATCTGGTGGAATCTATCGCGATCTGTGATGTGTGATTGCTTTGTCCATGATGAACCTCATCGACTCATCTCTTTGTCCTGAGATCTTCACACGCTGGCTCCCACAGCTTTCTCAAAAGAGACTCGTGGCGGGCAGTGCCAACCTGAGTAAGTTTGTAGCGCATCCATTGGCGACCAAATTTTAAAGTTTCAGATTTTCAGCCAAGCGACAGCTTGCAAACAGGAGGAGAGGCCCTCACAAGGTTCGTCGCCATTCAATGACAAGAAACTCCATGAGGTATAATCTACCGTGTTCAAACCAGAAGGGGAAGTGGCAGCTATTCAATCATTGTGCATATCAACAGTCTACCAGCGCCTCAAGAAAACTATCCGTGCTGGCAAAAGCCGTTGCAGCGGCCAACAGGTCTCGAGCTCTTCGATGAGGCATTGGTGCCTCGAAATCCGCGAACACCAAATTGCGGCGTCCTGGTTACCCAGGTGCTAAAATCGCACCAATGAGCACCAATGAGCACGAAGGTAGCACGAAGCAACTGAAGGATCTGAGGAAAGGACTTCAACCATGCGCTCCTCTCTGCAAGTCAGTCCAAGGTGCACAATGACAACTTCTCAGCAAAGCCCTGACAGTCACTGACTTGCTCCAAGTTGCTCCTTGCATTCAAGGAGAACTTCTCCATCCTCTGGAGAAAGGACAGCCTGGTCCTCTAAGATTGCCTGAGAACGCCTGCAAACTGGAAGCAGTTTGCATCAAATGTCTCGGAGCTGGCATGATGAGGATTGATCTTCACACGGGATCTGGGAAATCTTGAAATCATATGAAATCATTCACTATCCAAGTGGAAATGATGGAAAGCATACAAAATCATGTCCTGCATGATGACATGATGTCCATCCCGCCTTTTGATCAGCACTTTGTGGTCTTCAGGCCATTGAAGAAGTTCTCGAATAGCTTCTTTGAGGTCCTGGCCCCAGGGATCTCAGCAGGATGGCCAACATTGCAGCGTGTTAACAGCGACTGTTTACCCTGGTTTATATGACCCATTGGAACAGGCGTGATCTTTAACTGACCATGAAAATAGAATAAAATAGATAAGAATAGCTTGCCTCATACTTGCTCCGCACAATTTCTCTTGGGACTGTCCTGAACTGTTGCATTTGTGCCACTCATGGGAACCTCAGAGAAAGAACACACTTCGCAAATTAAAAGCTTGAAATCCAGCGACTTTCTGCTTAGATTCCAGCTCCAACATGAAAGCAAAGCTTGGTGTAGGTCCTTGGGTAAGTATGAGTTTCACATGTCGTCACCAATTACCAACTGATCAGCACACTGTCTTGGAATCTCACAAAATGTCATAGAATCATAGAATTCTAAGCTCTGTACATCTGCACCTTTGCTATGAAAGTTTCGCGGCCTCAATCACTACCAAAAACGCAGCAGGGGTGAAACTTGGACGAAAAACATACGAACAGTAAAAATCATAAAGTTTTGAAGTGACTGACGGCTGCTCACATGTTCAGTCTATAGTCTATAGAGTCTAAATCAAATCTCAGTTCCTCGCTGCCCGCCCTGGCTGCCACTCGAGCTGAGAAGTGAAGGCGGCCTATGACAGACCAAGACAAGCACTCCAACTGCTCAGACTGCTCGAACGCTCAACTGACTCACTTCATATCCAATGACCGAAATCACCGGCCTTTTTCTCCCATGCCTTCTCCCTTGACTGACACCTTGTCAAATCTTATGCAAAGGCATGTATCTCAAAAGAATGCATCTCATGTTTCTGCACATGCATTGTAAAGAAGAAAATCAGAAGAGAATCGGAGCTTGAAATACCACGAAAAAAAGATGGCCATGAGCCACTTAATTCAACTTCAGACAGGCCACATGAACACGCGTCGTGGAAGAAACTCCCTGCCACAGTGAGCATGCGGCATGAGTTGGTTACTCTGGAGGTCGTGTCACATCAAAATGTCCGGCCATTTCAGGCCTGTGAATAAAGCGGATTTTGGCCCCAAATCGCCAGGGTACGTCCATCTACCGTATTGACCTGAAATCTCCAAAGACTCCTCTTGAAGTCCTACTACAAGAAATAAAAGCACTTGAAAAGTAACTGAATAGCAAGGAAGCCATCCGCAGCCATTCCATTCTTGCCAAGTATTGCAACTCTGAGGCTTCCACAGCAGTGCTCAAGAATGGTTGCAAATGAGCCTCAGTCAACTGATATGGAAACCACTTGCTGCAGAATCGTACAATGTGCTGGAACTATGTACCTTAAACCTTCCCGAGATTCCCAACGTCGGGCCGGAGTCTTAGCTCTTTTGCAACGTGCAAATCGCATCCATGACGCTCAAGAACCTCAAACTCATCATGAGCAGCCATGAAATCATTTTTTGCTTCCCATATACAAAACAAGCAAATAAAGTTTCGATAGCCTCCTCTGTCCCAAAATCCAGGGCCTTGTGTGGTTTGGTCTTCAGGATGAACCGCAGCATGTCCGTCTGCGTCTCCAGATTCATGTCTCCACCTTTCATCTTGCATTCCTTAGCAATTTAAATCCCAAGGGTGAAGCTGGAGCCATCATTGAAGGCATGAATCACAAAGGACCTTTCGAACCTTCACTGACACTTTTCAACAGTTCCGCGCACGTCAAGCGTCAAAGGGCTCTTCAGCGCCTCAGCCACAGCGACGCCTATTCCCATGCTCAAATGACATTTCACATGAGACTGATGTCAAGCGCCTTTGGGAACATCGATGCGAAACTGCTTGTCTTCGTAGGACTCTTGGAAGTCGCGAATAACACGTCTGTTCCTTGCCACAAAATATTAATATGTTTGTGCTCGTCCCTTTGTAAATTAAATTTCTTATTCAAACAAACGTAAAACTCAAAACGCCACGCAAATCGCTCGAAGGTCGGACATGTATTTAATATTTCTTTTTGTCTTTGCTTATCTTAATTGAGTCGGGGGTGAAACCGCACAAACACAAGTCAAGTGTCTGGTAACTGTTTCAGGTCAACAAGTCATGTCGCCTGTCACCCCCCCACAAGATAAGGGAGGGAAAACGAAGTTTGGGAGGGGATAGAAAAATCGAACGGGTCAAGTGCAACCCACCCTCCACACCCTAGCCAAAATTGCGCGGAACATAAAATCAAAATGTTCGCAACAGAGCAAAAGGTGAGAAGACTGACATCAATCTGATCTAAATAAAAAGTGAGAAGTAAAGATCATCCTTCAAACAACAGTGACAGATGTAAATGTCACAACATGATAATAAACAGAAGTTGTTTGGAAACTTCAGTTGGTTTCCAGCATTCAGCCAGGAGCATCTGCCGCCGCACAAGTGCGGAATGGAAAAGGCGTCCAACTACGGAAGTTTCAGCAGATTTCACCGCACTTCCACACATCTTAAAATAGCTTGAACAATTTGAACATGTTTAACATCTTCAACTCTTCACAGGAGGATCAGCTATATTTGCTTGACTCTGAAAGCTGAGCTGAAAACACCGCCAGGCTCACCAACACCGTCAGTTGGTTTTCAGTTCATCAGATTTTTCTTTTTTTTGTTACAGGCGGTACGTTCGCAAGCTCACTACTCCCAACAAACAAAGGCCACAACAAGTTGAAGCCAAACGTTTGTGCTCGTCCCTTTGTAAATTAAATTTCTTATTCAAACAAACGTAAAACTCAAAACGCCACGCAAATCGCTCGAAGGTCGGACATGTATTTAATATTTCTTTTTGTCTTTGCTTATCTTAATTGAGTCGGGGGTGAAACCGCGCAAACACAAGTCAAGTGTCTGGTAACTGTTTCAGGTCAACAAGTCATGTCGCCTGTCACCCCCGTTTTTTTTTCGACATGTAAAGAGCTTCACTTTCTTGTAACTTCCAAGAGCATTGTTTCAGGCAAGCATATATCGCCTGCAAGGTTTCCTCCCGAGATTGCCTCGTTGTCAACGAAGTACAGTGCTGAAGAATTGGAAAGTTCATTGCGGTAAAAATACCTCACAAGCAAAACTGCAACCAACTCAATTTGACAAATTTTCTGCTGAAGTCCAATAGATGTCCAGTGCTCCATCAGGACTGGTGGGATGGTTCCCCAGTGAATTGCATTAATGCCAAGTTGAGGGATTATGACAACTGCACCCCAGGTTCCATTCCCATTCTCGTACGCACCGTCCGTGTAAATCACTGCCGGACGATCGCTGCTCAGGAAGCGAATTTCTCGTGGTCGCATTCGGTTAATGATCCTGCATGTATCATTGCACAAGCGCGATATGAGCTCTGTATCTGATGAACCTGACTGCAAACTTGCAAACTGTCTGGCGGCAGGCTTCAAACAACGTCCAACCACAAAGCCACCAGCATAATTCAGCAATCCATGCATAGTCGCCGCCTCGGGTGCAGACACAGTACCCTTGGCAGCGTATGATTCAAGCATCTCCAAAATCCTCTGTATCCGACTTGGGCGGTTCGCCACTGTCACTTGTTTGTTCCAAAAGTTCTGCAAGTGGAATGCTACTCCCAACACCTGCATGGTGTCAGAAAAATCAACACTCTTTTTACCAGTCGTAGCATGCTTCCACCCAAGCAAATCCAAAAGGTGCTGCACCACGTTCGTAGTTGTTGCCGCCAAAGGTTCAAACTCAATAACAGGAAAATCATCATAAAATACAGTGGTAAGGAGGTGAAATTTTCGAACCATCAAAGTCCAGATACCGCGCGTGATCTTGTTGAATGCAAAAACGCTGGACGTGGCTCCAAAAGGCAGTGACTTCGATATAAAGAACTTCCATTCGCCAGATTCACTTCGCACTCCCAAAACGCTATGTCTAGCAGACTGAGGAGCAACACTGACCTGCTTGTACGCCTTGCTCAAGTCGATGCCCCTGCCCAGCAGCAAAGGCTTTCGGTCGTAGTCAGGGTGCCTTCGACCAGTGAGGTGGTCACCTGAAGAAAGTTCGATGTCGATATGTGGATCTCCGCAGAAAACACCCAAAGCAAACGCAAGAAAGCAACTGATTACGTCGGTGTCGTGCAGGTCAAGGTGCGACGATGTTCCAAAGGCCGCATTCACTCCCGACGTTTTGTAGTTGTCAATCACTCTAGGTTTAAGGTCTTCACCTTGCAAAAGAAGGAACCGTTGGGACATTGACCAGTCCGCACGCCCAAGCCTTTCTGTTATATCAGACTCCAAAAAGGGACCATCCAGAAAACCAGCAGATACCTCTTTCATAGTTTCTTCCATAAGCAGTTTTGCAAGCCCACGTTCTTCGTCAGTAAAGGCTTTGCCCATAAGGGCTTTTCGTCGCCACAAAGCACTGTGGTCCAACTGTTCGGTTGTCATTGTAGGTGGAGCCCATCGTTGTTTGTACAAAGCGCTTTCGTCTTCCCAGCCAGTCAGGGGAACTCCTTCGCGCATATAGCGCACAACCTCCATGTCTTCGAACCCAACCTGGGTCAGCAGTTTTTCCCAAAGTTCAATGCGTTTTGCCTTGGTCACCTCCGCCACGTTCTTGTCCATTTTGACTTTCGCCAGTTTCTCCGCAAGAGCCAGTCGCTTTGCAATTTCAACACATTCTCCCAGCTTGCTGATGCGGAACAGGGCAACATCTGCCATCGAGTGTGTTGCCACAAAGAAAATAGCTTTCTTCAAATCATCTGGTACACCCTTGTGCGTAAATGCAGGGTGCTGCAATTCTAAAGAACGCTTGAGGTGATCATGATGGTTGAAATAAATGCCAACCTTGTAGCTTTCAGCTGACCTCTCGCTGTCGTCTCCCCCGTGTCCCAAGCGAGCCAAAATTTTGTGTGGCAGTTGAGGGAGTACCGTAGTGACAATAATTTGGGAAAATTCAGGGATCAATTGGTCATGACCTTTGGCTTGAATGGATTGGGCCATTAAAGATTGCAGTCGAAAAAATTTTGAGTTATACTCCAGTGCATTAGCAGCGACCATTGTACTTGCACATTCAGCATATCGATCACAGAACATTGAAGGATATTGAGCTTCCGCTGCAGTAGAAAAAATCCACTTATCAAATCCACTGACAATTGTCCATGGCTCATGGTTGTGGGACTTGTCGCACATAATCCCCAGTGGCTCAAACTGTCGGGTCGACACCAGCAACTTGGTTGACTTGGCACGGTTTCCTCCGTGCATGCAAAAATCAAATTCCACGGGGTGAAAACAAAAATACCACTCAGCAAATTCAGGGCACTTGTGTTCGCGTGCATATTGCTTGACCAGTGTTGCAAGTACTGTCCATAACCACGATCGTAAAGGATTTTCCAGTGTAATGAATGCTCCAACACGAAAAAGTGCATGCAACAAGCGCACAGCATGTCTATAAACAGTATTTGCAGCGTCAACTCTCTGCTGGTTCAGAGTGCTCAAATTTGGCAGGCCAAGTGGATGCAACGCGTCACGGAGTGGCGCAGGTTGAGGTGCTCCTTGAGAGCGTAATGCATGTGCAACCGGCACTTCTCGTGCTCGGCTGCAAGTTCCACACATAAGCCCAAAATGGGCTCCTACCGGCTTCATCTGTTCGATCATGCCTTCAAGGAGTGAAATATTCTCATGCAATGACAAATCCAACTCAAAAATGTGCATCTTGTTTTTGAAACGATTTGCATGATAGTCAATCGGAAAAACTTGCCAGCCCATGCGTTGCATTGATGCAGAGAGCGCAGCTGAGCCCGCACAGATTTCCAAAAAGACTATTGGTTTGTCTGCATGAGGGTGAGAAATTGTATTGTCTTGTTTCGGCTCACCAAGTCAGTGCTTACACTCAATGTAAGGTCGCTTCTCTGTGCAACCCTTGTAGTAACATTGGTGAAGCCCCAAATGACAACGTGCTTTCTTCTGATGTTTGCAAATCCCTCTGTTGTAGAAAACACACAGCCATTGACCGTTCGGCAGCTTGCTGGCGCAGCCGTCTGGCATGTTGGTGAGCATCTCTTTGATAGTGGGCCCAGAGCTGGGACCTGACGCAGCACCTTTCGACTGAAATTTGTTCTTCCCTTTGCCTTTGCCGGATCCACTGCTCTGTTCCGCTCGACTGTATGGCTCGGAACGATGTCCTGAAGGCGCTTCAGCGCGCACTGATGGCAATGGAGTCATGAAGCAAAGAACTTCAGGAGACCTCATGTAATTTTTCAATTGCTCATCCAAAGGTGGTTTCTCACCTATGCCAGAAATCAACTTGCCACGGGTTTGCTGTGAGATGTGCATCCACAGTTGCTTGTCAGCACTCAAGATCTGCTGTGTCGTGACATACTTGTGTCCAGCTGGAGGCGGCCGCAACAACGCAGCAAACATCTGTTGATTCCACTCTTCAATCAAATCAAAGGTCACCAAATTGGTCTGATGCATGGCCAAAGATCGGCGTGTAAATGCCGCACGTAGTCTAAGCTCGCCCGAAACATCACATTGCAAGTCCTGAGCCTTCTTGGTGACTTTGAGACCTCCAGCATGGTCAATGCTCAGCGCTGACTCTTTCTTTTCCTTGGTAATTTCTTCTTCTCGTGACATGCACTTCTCAGGTCCTACATAAAGCAAGCAACCATCCTCGATCATGTTTTGAAACTTGTCAACCAATCCATGACTTGGTTCGACTGACGCGTCGAGGATCAGGCCTTTCAATTCCTTTTTCTGTTTGTCAATCCTAGCAAGTCTCTCTGCAAGTGGCATTTTCCTAGGCTGGTCAGCCTCAGTTCTTTCTGTTCTGCTACGTATGTCAGAGAGCACCATGGCATGCGCTTCAAACCACAGCCTACGAAGTGGAATCATTTCAGCTGGGGCAACCTCGACCAAAATCAAATCTTGGACTGCTTTCTTGAACTTCTCTTCAGTGTTTGAAGTTGGCGTTGCATCACTTGAAAAAGCAAGGCTCCCAAACGTGTCCAACCCAGCTCCCTTGAGCTTCTCTAGCAGGTCCTCTTGCATCCCTACTTCCAGCGCACGTGAGCTGAAAGCATGTTTCGAATCAAGTCCGGACATGGCTGCACTTTCGACCAGCCGTCGCTGAGTGATACAGTTTTATTGTTATCTTGCAAAAGATTGTCAAGTCAAGAGCGAAACGTCCACTAAAGTGAGTTATTGATTTGAAAATCAACGCATGAAAAACAGTGTTCAACAAGATCGAAATTGAAACGCAATGTTTCTTCATAAGTTGAACCACAGTCGTGAACCTTCAAACATGTGTCATTGATGCAATGAAATTCACACTGCAAGAAAACATACATTCATGAAGCTGTTCACTGTTTTTCAAAGGCTCCGACAGTTGTGCATCGGATCATTGGTGCGCAAGTCATGCGCTGACTCTGAGCAATTCACGCATCAGGTCGATGAAATTCAATTTCATGTTGTGCAAGTCACCACAAAGGAATTCAATTCACTCATTCCCTGTGTTGTCAGCTAAATTCATGCTGCAACAAATTGAAGTCAAGTCAAGCTGGGTAATGCAACAGCGAGATTCAAAAATCATACCAGCCAATGCATTGCCAGTAAGCAAGATTCGACATGTTTGCTGAACAGATTCCCGCCTTGTTTGTCTCTCGCCCGCCCCAACTCACGCTTCTGTTGCACTAAGCACTCACTATCAAGAATGCTGTGCACACTGAGCACAAAATGGAAATTCACATGCCATTTCAAAATCAAAAGAAGGCTTCTTGTAGTTCGCAGAAACTTTTCGTGAACATGCCAAATTTTCACAGTCCACTGCTACATGCAAAACTCCTGACAAAACATGCTGCAAACATGACTTGAAAATTTCTTCAGTCAACGGTCCATTGTGCACAGGTTTCTTTGCTTGAGGCACTGGCAGAGTTTCGCTTGCACCCAGCTCAATGGGGTCAACTGACTCGTCAGAATAGTTCTCAATATCGACATGTTCTGCATCTTGCAAAGTCTGTGCAGCAATCCGAGCAGCCCGAGTTGCATCAGGGTCAAAGTAACCCTTTCGAATGGAGTCCAGAATGCGCCACAACTTGGTTTGAATCTCGGCAAGCGCATCTCTCGAGTATATCAATGGCATTGCTAACCTGGAGTCAAAATGGTGCCCCATGATACGCCTCTCATCAATTGACATGGCTCCAGATGTTGCCGCCCAAGACAGTGCAGTAGCCTTCAAGGTGTGTGTGCTGTATGAAGCCGCCTGAGCCTCACTCATACCAGAGTTGCACAGCAGCTCACGTAGAAAGTATACACCTTCACCAGATGTCATTGGACGATTCAACCATTGTGATGTTTCTTCATTCCAGGCCGGCATCAAAAATTTGAAATGATCCATCTTTTGTCGCTTCCGGGCACGAATCCATGTCCATGCCCAAGAGTCCTTTTCGTAAAGCCCATTGCCCAGGGCCAGCATAGGAAGGGCAACATTCCTAGCTTCCTTGCCAGCCGTATGCGCTGTCTTGAATTTCATGCTTGACGTCTCCAGCAGTGATATGTGACCACTCATGTCCAAATGCACGGTCTCCGCACGAGCTGCGTCAGCAAATCTTGCAGATGCCAGCAAACAAAAAATCATGAATCCTCCAATGCATGCCTCCACATCGTTGCACTCACAGACATGTTTCTCCAAAGCGTACAACGCATCAGCAGTAAGTGGTGGAGCTTGCTTCAACTCCCTTTTGCCTGAAAGCATAGTCCTGCTAACTCCGTTCACTCTGCCAGAAAAAATTTGAGCAACATCCACCCTCGCAAAGCCAATGTGATGTTCGAAAAATCCAATTGCTTTGATAAATGACTGCAGAGATGTTGCAGAGGCTCCGGACAGTTGCAAGTGCTTGGCATAGTCGTACACCACAGTCTCTGAAATGTTCATGGGATAGCAACGTCCCCCATCAACTGCCCATCGTGCAAAACGGTGATAGTCTGCAACCCTTTTAGATACTGTGCCAGGCGCCTTGCCAGCAACAGCATCAATAAAGGAAGTTGAAATTTTCGACTCTGGTACCAGCTTTCCTGAAAAATCCAGAAGTGCTCTGCCCAGTCTTGAATCCAAAGGTTGAAAAAGAACTATCTCTTTGAGTTGCCGCATTGCACAATCAACCAGCTGATCATCTGTTTTGGCAAATGCCGTTGCCAACAGTCTTTTGCGTTTGAAATCTGAGACTCCTTGCACCGGTTCCTCATGCGAGCTCACTGCACTATGCACAACGCCCTGAACAGATTCAAACCGCCCATACATAGGCAGCTGTGGTTGCCTCCAAATGCTGTCCAGTGAAAATACATTGTCAAAATCCATTCTATTCAAAAAAGAACTTGGCAGTGAAGAAGACCCAGCCACATGTTGAATCACAAGGTTGTCAATGGTTCGACTGACATCCATGTCAACTGTTTCAGCCAAGTTCCTATCAGCCCGTGCCTTGGCTGTGGGCACCATGAAGCGTCCAGTCTGGTTTTCAACGTCATCTGGTCTGACCAAACTTGCAGCGAGTGAATATTCTTCCTCAATTTGCTGCTCTGCAAATTCCTTTTCCTCGTATCCAAACAAAGGACTGAAATGTGAATCTTGTCCAAAATCATGATCATTCAAAGCATCTGGAAGTTGTACGTGTTCCCAGTCCATGTCGCTCTGGCCTCCATTGTCCCCTTGCGAAACAGGCCACTGCGCAGCACCAGCTGCATCTGGTAAATCGCCCAAACTGTGTGAATCACGCACAAGTACCATGAAAACAAAACACTTGCAAATCCAGGCAGTGTTTGTTCAAATGAAAACTGAAAGTTCTGTCAGAGAATGCACGTCCCGTAAAATCAAGATCTTCCAAAATTCTGTCAGGCATCCATGGCGATATGGAAAAATCGGATAGAAAAATCGAACGGGTCAAGTGCAACCCACCCTCCACACCCTAGCCAAAATTGCGCGGAACATAAAATCAAAATGTTCGCAACAGAGCAAAAGGTGAGAAGACTGACATCAATCTGATCTAAATAAAAAGTGAGAAGTAAAGATCATCCTTCAAACAACAGTGACAGATGTAAATGTCACAACATGATAATAAACAGAAGTTGTTTGGAAACTTCAGTTGGTTTCCAGCATTCAGCCAGGAGCATCTGCCGCCGCACAAGTGCGGAATGGAAAAGGCGTCCAACTACGGAAGTTTCAGCAGATTTCACCGCACTTCCACACATCTTAAAATAGCTTGAACAATTTGAACATGTTTAACATCTTCAACTCTTCACAGGAGGATCAGCTATATTTGCTTGACTCTGAAAGCTGAGCTGAAAACACCGCCAGGCTCACCAACACCGTCAGTTGGTTTTCAGTTCATCAGATTTTTCTTTTTTTTGTTACAGGCGGTACGTTCGCAAGCTCACTACTCCCAACAAACAAAGGCCACAACAAGTTGAAGCCAAACATATATATAAATTGTAATATCGTATTGTTGTGGTATTTTCGGAACGCTGCGGTGAACTGGACACAACCCAATAATTTTAAACTGAAAAAATCAGCAAAATTCACATCGTTTGACACCGTTTGACACATTCAACGCAGGCCACGCAGGACTCTGGGAAAGCAATCAGAGCTCGCCTCACGACACTCTTCGCTCCGCCGTAGAAGAATTTCTCCAGTTTGCACAAGACCTGGCATCCAATGGGAAGTGACAACAAAGAATCCTCGGAATCACTAGAATGTTCACTTTGTTGATACATACTAAAGTATTTGATGTACACTACGCGGACTACGCGGCTGTCTTGTGTAACTGATCTATCAAACCGGCCTCCACATCGATTTCACGGCCAGGAGGCTTGTAGTGCCTTTGCTGACAATGCAGCAAAGTTTGAAGCGTTCACAGGTCTTAAAACTCAAGCATCAAGGAAAGGCACACAGGAAAGTGTTGTTTCTTTTTAAGCATGTTCCAAGGTACTCTTGAATCTTCTTCATCATCTCAGTCGCATCAAATGGCACCCGATCCTTTCGTCTCTGGTAGCCATTCACCTTCGTCACAGGAACAACATGAACTGCCTTTCTTCGGATTCATCTGATCAAAGTCAGGCCTCACTACCTGCAGTGGTGGAATCCCGATCTCGGTCATATTGCCGTCGTGTTGCCTCGAGGGTGGCATGACCAAACAACAAACATCTGTAGTCTGCGCCAAATTGCATTGGCACAATTGAAATGAAAGTTCGGAAATAAAGCCCTGGGCACTGGGCACTCTCACAAAAGGTCGCTCAGAAAAGAATCACTTGCACAGATTTTTATTTTTCTACTTTCCTACCGGTGGGACAAGGAGGTGAGGGCATTGTCCCAAAGGGCACAAACTGCAAATTTGCAAATGTCTAAGTAGGGATGGAACAATTTTGAAGCATTCTTTTGTTGGGTGGAACATCAAAATAAAGCTTGAGCGTGCATGAGGCAAAAGCGAACCATTTTTGCAGTCATAAGCAATGGTCTGCCAATAGCCAAGGCTGCAAACGCCAACAAAGACATCCCAGGGATTCCCTTGCAGCCCCAGGGTGGAATCCTCTTGTTTTGATTGTCAGCTGACGTTTCACTTGCCAAGTAGAACTGCTCGAAGGGAGTAACCCAACATTTTTTCATAGGTTTTTTGGGCTTGGATATGATCACCAGTAGCGCCAGCTGCTGAACCCTGCCTGGTCAGCTAGCACCAGGTATGCATTCCTCAGGAGATCTCAAGAGTACAAGATTCACTCGATGGAAATAGAAGCCATCGAATCCATGCTCTCAATCCATGTGCTGTGTGATTTCCATGACTGCTTGACAACCCAGAGGCACTGCGGTGGTTCAAAACAGCAACTCCATTTTGTCCCATGAGTGGACACTATCTGGCAATCCATCTCCAAAATTCCTTTTCAGCTTCAGAATCTGGGTTTCGCACTTCAGTTCGATGAAAACACCAGCTCGCTCTTCCTGCTCCTGCTATTGGCCAAACATGTCAAAACTATCTGTAAACTCGCCACCTCAACATACCGGCATGCAACTACACTGTAACTACACTCACCAAATCTCACCAAAATCATCCAAATTCAAACTACCGGAGTCAACATGCTGGACATGCTGGACATATTGGACGCATATTGGATGCTCCTCTTTGGTCAAGCCAGATGTCTTGTCGGGATGATACAACAACGAGAGTTTCTTGTACGCCTTCGCAGCGCAAAGCGACGTTTGAACAGCGCAACGCAGCCCAGACACTTGGCCACGACTCAGTCACCACTTGGCCACACAACTTGGCCGGCCTTCTTGATTTCCTCGAGGGGCGCATACTCGTCAACACCCAAAACCTGCCAATTTTCAATTTTGGGAACAAAAATTTCGGCAAAATAGATGTGCAATGTATATTGTATATATATAAATGAATTTTTAAAAAAATTACACTTCAGCTCCACCGTGTAGTAGTTGATGCCCTTGTCGTAGTCAAAAGCCTCACACAAATAACATGTCGTTTGGCAAATACGTTTTTGATGTTTGGTGTCCACAGCTTTCACAGCGACGGTGATGGGTCCTTCGGAGCTGTGAAGTCATCATCACAAGGCTGAAAATCCTTAGTCCAATCATAGATATACAAATTGGACGCACAACATGCGCAGCACAGGAGATCCCAACCTGAACCTATGAACATGGAATCGAAAAAACAAAAATCAAGCAAAGCGGCCCGGTCAGTCTGCTTTCGCAATTTGTCGCGTTCGCTAGTCAATCTTGACCTCAGCACCATTTCATTTCATGGTAGGCGAAAAAAATGATTTTGAATGTTACACCAACTAATTAATCTGCACTGGTGGCATTGTTTGGTGTTTCAACCATTTCACAAACATTTTGCCAAGGCACGTATATTCTTCTTGTTGCCGAGCCTTGAGCACGTATCATGCAAAAATAATGTTCAGCTCAGCCTGTTGAAATCAGTTTTGCAAATGCGCCATTTTGTTGTTGCAATGGTCGCATCAAACCATGTGGCACCTTGACCATGAACGGGCTAGCTTCAAAAGTTTTCGCTTGCCTAGGCTGCAAATACAGAGAAATGCTGTGACAAAACTGGATTGGTTTGCTGCAAGAATTCCAAAAATGCCAATTTTATATTTACGCACGTGAAGGCGGCTGCAATGCTGCAATGCTGAAGGTCTTCCCAGGTTTGCACTCTGCAGACATTTTGTGGCCACCATGTTGAATTCCTTTTGTCGCGAGTTCATTCTGCCTGGCGTTCGCAAACAGGCACTGTGTCCTCGCTAAACCAAGATCATGCAAGTTCGTCAATTTGTTGGAACCATTTTCTACCTGCCTGAAACTGTACTGACCATCGTAAAGTGCAACCTGCAGCACAATTTGTTTGGTTTTTGTTGGTCCATCTTGAACGACACAACAGACGTACAATAATTATTCAACAAAATTGGTTCCACGTTTGCACTTCAACAACGATGTTGTCCAAGCACCCCACTGACATGGGTTGTCCAATTTACCTTCATCCGAAACAAAAACAACACAAACATTGATACACACATAATGCGTGCACAAAATGTCCAAATCCAAGCCCGGTGCCCTTCAACCAATTCACGAACAAAATTTGCTGCAAAACATTTGTTGAACTAATTCAAGTGTCGTTTTTGCGATGCACTTTCAATCGGAAACATGCATGGACTAATTGCATGTGTGTCAAACTGAACCTGTTGTCACACTACGATGGTGCATTGTGCAATTGTCGATATAATGACCCCCGTTTACTTGATACCGAAACAGCGATGGACGAAACACGATTGCCAAAAATCCAATTTAAGCATTGGCTCGAAAAATCCAATCAACCAATCATCACACAACATTCATCACGTGTATGTACTACGTGCAAGTCATGCCGAACAAAATGTTTTGTGTGTTTTTCATTGCCCCCTTTCTGATTGGAAAATAAATTTGATCAAAGGGTGTCCTGACACCATTAAAAAAAGTGGGTTGATGTTTTTTTTCTCCACAAAATTCTGGACATGAACCCCGGTTTATGCCCCTCAATTTCTAGCCATTCAAACATTTCAAAATAAAAATTAGGCAAAAATTGTCTTGCCTCACATTGCAACAAAAATTATAGAAAATTACCCCAAAACCTTTCAACACACCGCAAACCCCTCGACCAAAATGATAAAACCGCTGAGCATGATTGAAGGATTTGTCTGAACCCAGTTTGATTAGTTTCAACATGTTTTTTGCATGTTTCTATTGCTTGAAACCGATGGAAATTTCGGTTGCGACAACAATGTTCAGAAAAAACATATCGTTGTGACTTGTGTGCCCTGGTTTTGCAGGATTTTGAACGATTGCTTGCCTGGTTTCCAGATTGCCGTTTTTGACTGTACATTCTTTGTTCCTGGGGCGTTTGATGGAGGTCAAAATTTGGGGTTGTTGATTGAAACGTCTGAAGGCCGCTGGAAACATGTTTGCGGCCAATTTTCACCAAATTTGAGGGCAGCCACAACAACAGCAACAACAACAACAACAACACAACAACACGGCAACAACAACAAAATCAAGCGGCGACAACGACAACAACGACAACGACAACAACAACAACAACAACAAGAACGAACAACCCACAATCAACAACCAGTTAAAGGACTGGATAACCCCACAAATCAATTTCGTCCAATAAAAAACAAGTTGTGGTTGAACCTGTACTGGGAAGGCGGGAAATACAAAGGAGATGGTGCGACACCGATAATTGCAAAGAGTTGTATGTGAAAGTGCAGTGCTATGTGTGAAAGAGTTGTCTGCAAGAGTTGACGACAGCGCTTGAAAAAAATTGTGCGCGAAAGTGCTGCATGTGGAAGGGATGTGTGACCGAAAAAGTTTTGCGCTTAAGAACAGTGGGTGGAAGAGGTCTATGTGAAAGATGTGCCATGAGCAAGAGATGTGAATGCGTGTGTGTGAAAGGGATATATTTCGAGGAAGCATCCATGAAAGGGTTGCGCGCGGCAGAGATGTAAATAGAAGAGCTGCGTGCGAAAAAGGTGTGTGAGAGTGTCGTGTGTGACTTGTGGCCAGAAGGGGGCGCGTAAACACAGCAACGACATGATCCAAAGTAGTACATGCGTAAACATGCCTTGCGAGAAAGCCCTGGCCAAGCAACAAACATGTTACAAGTACGACATGCTTGACGATCAGACGCGCTATTGCACGAAACCTTTCGCAGCAATGTGTGCTCCGGTCACATCTTTACACGTTGTACCAATGCTTCCGGATCAGGCTCACTAAGTGCGCCTTGGAAGTACATATGTTGTTCTCCTGTAGCCACCTAACCCAGCCCAGTGCAATAAGCGTCACCCCTGCCACACAGAAGCAACGTGGATGTCAGCAAGTGCCACGCCTGCCACACAAGAGCAACAGGTATGTCAGCAAGCGCCCTGCCACACAAAAGCCACATCGACCACGCGTGCCACACCAAAGTGCCACATCTCCTCAGAAGTTTTATTTTTTTTCCTCGGGATATGGCCAATATGCTGTGTGACACTGTCCTCTACACACAAAAGCAACGAGCAGAAACTAATTGGCGATTGCACTCAGCAAGGGACTGCTGGTCAAAACAAATTGGCTCAGTTGGTCACCAAGAAACAACCAAACAAGAAGGACCCGCAGAAGCGACGACCCGCAGTTCCCCCAGCCAGAACTGCGTCTCATCGCTCCACCAACGAGAAGCAACAGCTAACGGGGCCAGGGCCCAACACCGAACCAAAAACATCCAATTGGCCTTTCCAGGCAGCTAAACTAGCAACGAGAGCCCGCAAAGCGCTCTCAAATTGACTAGCACCCGCATAGCGGTCTACTGGCTGACAAGTGTCACAAAGAATGAAACGAATTAGTGGGAGGCCCCTTTCGTCCAGAATGTGACCATGCAAAGAAAAATGAAACCGGTCAAGCCTCTTAGATTCCTCTCAGATGAGCTTAATCAGCACATAGAGAACGACCAGGGCGAGCCATCCACCTAAGATGCCGCAAGTAGTCACCCAAAGCGAAGACAAAAGGCAGCGATCGCAGCCACTGCAAGCAGAACCCTCCTTGGGGCCCACGCTACAAGGACTCCTGACGAGCCACGCAAAGCAACTGGGGAGCCCCAGGAGGTATATTCGGTTGCAAAGAGTGCCTAAAGTCAGCTAGATCGCAACTCTAGGGTTGTCTCTTGGTCTTTTTGTGAGTTGTTGCTTCCTCCTTGACCACGGACGGTCGAGATGGTGGACCTCTCACCGCATCCGCCCTGATCCGTGGTGTGGTTGATTGTTTCTCGGTTCCCGTTGCTGGTGGTTCCGTCGCTGCATGTGGCTGCTTTCTTGTTGTTTACCCTGCAGCTGTGGGTGCCCCCTCCACTAAATCGGCCGTTGCAATGTTTCTGGCAGTGATCCGGTGCTGTGTCCTGGTGGCTACTCCTTCTACTTCACCGGGACAGCGCCACTGTGCATCTCCTGGTGCGTCCGTGTTGTAACAAAGTTTGCGATTATGGATCTCTCGCGCTGGTGCTGCATCTGGACGCTTGTCAGACGTCTATATCTGTGCAAAGTTATGGATTGGCGAATGGACAGTCATGAGACACTGATGAACCCGCCTTCGTGCAGCAGGTGGCACCAAAGGCTTTGGCTCTGCGCGGGATCTTGATCCTCCACACCACTCTTTGTCTGTGGACAAGGACACCAAACGTTCTAGCAACGGCCCTCGCCGAGTCTTCCATGAAGGATCTGTTTTCTGATCGATAACCTCTAGCCACTGAGCGTTTTGTCTGGGTGCTGCGAAATTTACAGACGCCATTGCCTGCGGCTTTGCAGACAATGATGGCTTCTGGTGTGTCCGGTGATGTGGTGTCCAGTCTCTTTTGATGGACGAGGATTGCTGTCCCCTGGACCTGCTCTGTGACGAGAATGCCTTGGTTTTGACCCTTGCTTTCCCCAACAAAGACAAACACCAGCAGCCAGCTGCCTCTCAAAGGTCTAGCATACCTGGGTAAAACTAGGAACAAAGACACCAGGCAGAGTGCATCCTAGGTAACATTCAAACGAATCAAGGTGATGAGCACGCATCAGCATGTGCCATCAAAACTAATTCGCCATGTAGGTGAACATGAAAGAAAACCTGAAAAAAGTACCATCCAATAAAAGAAAGTACGTGCCTCGCTGAGAGTCCTCTCAGATATGCTTCGAAAGGAGCATGAGCGCACCAGTTGACCAATAATCAAGCCGAGGCTGCGAGCAACGTTGCAGAAACAGCCAAACCAATCAAGGGCCAGTAAGTAACGGCAAAGCCAGCGACAGAGCTAGTGGGGGCTCCGGCCCTGTTTGGTTCTTGCAGTGTGCCGATACGCTAATCTGGCAGGGGAATTTTGCACTTCGGCCACTCTCTTTTTTTTCCACCCTTTTGTCCAAAATGTGTCCCAGTGCACTACCCCTCCTTTTGTGATTTGGGACTTGGTCCGAATTTCACTGCACTTGTTTTTTGCCTTTTTGCCCCCTCTTGCTTCGATTGTGGATGTCTTCGTTGTTTTTCTGCGGGGTCCTTTTTGGGGTGCTGCTCTGCTTGCTGGTGCCCCCCCGTAGCTAGGTAGTTGCCATGGAACTGGTGGTGCTCTAGCAGTGCTCTGTCCTGGTGACTCTGCCTGTAGGAACCAGGACCCAGCCCTGCTATGTATCTCCCAGCGCGCCCCGGCGGCACCGAGGTGCGGGCATGCCTCCAGCAGGCCAGAGAAGCATGGAATGGCCAGCAAACAATGTGTTCTGATCACAAACTAATTCACAAACCATAGCAGAGCATGCCATCAAACCATTCAGTAAAATCACATGCAAGTGAGTGACAGGTTTACATTTTACTGCAATGTATCATGATTTTGTTTTACTACCAAGGACCGAGCCACTGAGCTCTATTTTGGCCATACTCCGCAAAAGGCCTGCGTGGTGCCTGGTGGATCAAGCATTGATAGAACCCTTCTGTGACGCGGGCCGTCGCCACATCCGAGTCAGGAAAGTGGCTGAGGAAACTACGAAAGTGGCTGAGGAAACTACTTCGCAGAGATGCTGACTCTGCAACGGCACACTCCTTAAAAAGTAATTACACCTTCTCCATTGGTGCGCCAAATGGGGATTAGATCCGGATGTCAGGAAGCTTGCCACTCATGTGGTCGTCTCCTGTTTGTTCCACTTGACGTTGGCCGCTACCACATCGACCACCTGCAGGTCACGCACCCGGAGGCAGTTCCACATGGCCTACGATGTGAAGGTCTCCTCCGATTTTTTTTTCCCTCGGACTGTGGCCGAATAAGCTCAGTGGCTCGGTCCTTTGTAGCAAAGATCGAAAATAAACATCAAAAATAGCACCGTAAAAAAGTGCAGCTGTACAACAGAGCCTAGCATATTGCAATGGAGGCAGCCAAACAACAAGACACAAACAAAACAACCGCAAACCAGCGGAGTCCCGAAAGGCAGA